ATGAGTGGTGACCTAAACAATACTTGAATTTTGTCTCAACATACGATGAGTCCACTCCAACCGAGATATCGTCATTTAAAAAATTCGGCTAATGACGTCATCTACCGCGGTATTGACACCTTTGGTTTCTTCCACCTCGCTTTCATCCGAGTTTTACATTGCTTAATTAGTGGACGTGTGTGTTTTGCTGACTGATGAAAAAAGTAAGATGAAAGAAACCAAGGGTAACCTACCGTGGTATGGATGTCGTCATAAACCGAATTTGCAAAGCACGATATGCCCGTCGATACTGAACGTAGAGAATTTCCGTTTGAGAATATCTTATTATTTTCAACTGAACTACAAGAATCAAGCATCAAAACACGATTCTGAGACCAGCAAAACTTACTCATTCTCATGGATTACAGGTTCTGCCCCTTTCTAGTCATAGTCACAGTGTTACTTATAAGGTAATAATTTTGATCCCACTAACAATGCTATCCCGGTTACCATTGTCGCTGGAACCTAAATAAGTGTTATGATAAAAATAACATCGTAAGTACGACAAGAAAAGTAAGTAAGACCTGCAATCCACTATCGGAGGGGCGAAGATTCTTCCCTCTCCGCCACGGACACTTTTATCGGTTTTTTGTACCTCTTTCTGTGATTCTGAATTCCCCCTACTGTACCTTAGTTAGTATGAATAGAAGCAAATTTATCTCCTCTGGAAGATGATTAGAAGCTCCAGGGCTCATATCGCCACCGTCTGTGACTTTCTCCCAATTTTTTTTCCGACCAGCACAAAAAAACCATTCTCTTCGGGTGCATCTTTTGCAATATATGGCATTTCACATGGGTGGTTGATGAATGTGAACTATTGATTGATATCGCAACTCAGAAGTTTAGTCAAGCCACGCTCAGCACGTCTGACACTCGGGGCGAAAACTGCTTGCGATGACGGGGCGAATATAATTAAAACCAATGTTTCGTGGTGACTACGTAACGGAGTAACTTTTCGCGTGATCAGCGATGCTGTCAGCCAGGGGAAGCCTCGCAGCTATGTGTCATCAACGGTTGAATAGAGTTATCGGAAGAATCCACACTGATTAAAATTAATTATCATATCGACACCCACGAGACTAATATGCAATATTCTTTCTCATTTATTGTGCGTCACATTGTCGCATCAGGAAATCATTCAACGGCTCATTATTATTATCGCTTGTTCATTAGAAATCACGGGGAAAACGTATGAGGTACATAACCTCGAGTTGATTTAGATTTACCATACTGTGAGCAGGGCCGGAAAAAGGGGGACGCCACATGGGCTGCGGCCCATGGCGGCAAATTTTGCAATTTTTTTGAATGTAGGTATAAAATAAATCGAATTCAGAAAAAAAATAAATTATCAATGAGAAGAGGGGACAAAATCTCTCTTTCCTGAGGGTATAGTAATTTCTAATTTTTTCGTTTTACAAGAGACAAGAGACAGCATCTTTAATTAGTCGAGTTAAGAGAGGAACTAAACATGCAATTTGGCCTGGAGCTCAGCGAAGAGAGGAATGATGACAAGGACTTAAGATGAAAAGGACAAGCCCTCGGCGCGTTGGCATGTAGGTAACACATATTAGCGCCTACAATACTGCATAAACATTTCACCCATTGCGTTAAACACAGTGCGGTCAGGAGCGGTTGGCGTGAAACGCATAGCGCCTACAAGACTGCAGGAATACTTCACGCATTGCGCCAAACACAGTGCGATCAGCGCGGCACAGCGGCGGAAGTTAAAATTATTAAACCACATTTATGTTTGTTCTTTCATAATGTTTTGTTTCATTTCGTATAAATGGAGGACCTTGTCCACTCAGAGATAGGTTTACGGAACTTAACTTTCGCGGAAAGTTCCGTGAAATTATGCTAGTAGTGTTGACAGGGCTTTCGCAAAAAATGTATTCAACAAGAGTAGGTAAACGCGTCTTATGCATCCCTTCCCCTCCGGCACGTTCACTTGATGGTGTTTATCGATGTTTCTAAACGAATGAGAAGGGGGCGGCAAGTGAGTAAATCCGACCCTGACTGTGTGGTGGAAAAACGGAACAACTACACGGCTTTTCGTAAGAACCATATCTTCTTATGCTGGAGTCTTAACTTCGATGCCGGCTTCATGCTTAAAGTTGATTTCGTCAATTAAAACACAAAATGTGGTCCAATTTCCGAAAGTTTTACGGTCTGAATTGTGGAATTGTAATGCAATAAAAATGTTGGCTACTTCAGACCTAAACGCAGGGGGTAAGGTAGGAAAAGAAATATAAGTTGCACTGATCCCATGTATCTCACTGTGAGAAAATAATGGGTTACGGCTGTTGAAATACACAAAATACTGCGTGCTTTTGTTATTTTGAACAACATCTATGAGTGGCTGACACTTCTACTTCTTCTTTAACAATTTAACGCGATTCTCAAGAGCTGTGTCCATAGCCTCCCCATCTTGGACAATGAGTAAGAAGAAGTCCATAACTTCGGATCTGGAAGGACGCCAATTTTCTAGTTCTCCATTTTGACATTCAACATCCGTTTTCTTTTTCCCTTTTCTGCTCGTGCAGATGGTGAGAGGAGTTACATGTAAAAATAACAGGAAGGCAACCAAAGATGATTTAGCATCACTTGGAAACAAAAGAGACTGTCTACATGGTAAATCTTGTAATTTTATTAATGAATAATACGATCCTAATTCGGTGATTTGCCAAGACCTCCCGCGTACCCGCCCACCTATTAAGTGAGGAAAAACGAATACACTGGACACGGCAAATGGCAACATATTTTGGACTAATAATTCAAGACAAAACAGAGGTAGAGGCTGTAGTTATTCATAATGCAGCAGTTACTGTAGTTACAAAATAAATCGTACTTGAAAATACTTGATATTTGAGGAAAGAGATGAAGTTGCTTGAAAGTCCTTGAATTTTTGTAAATATTGACCGGCGAAACGAAGGAGCAATTTCAACTTCACAATTTTCCTCCGGATTTTCCTGGAGGATGAATCCCAAAAGAAACAAATAGACGAATAAAAATCTAAAAAAATGAGAAATGAAACCCTCAAGGACAAAAAAAAAGGTCCGTTGAAGCTAGGCAACATTGTAAATGAGTCCAGCTGATGCTGTAAAACTATGTCATAGGTTAATAATTCAGAGCATCAAGACATCAAGAGATACAGTGCGCTTCGGCAGTATAAAGAATAAAGTAAATTTTATAAGGTGAATAATGTATTGTTGTCTTGTTATGGTTGACTTACGGCTCAAAAGTCACCATTTCTCGTTGCAAAAGTACTGAGTTCCATATCTACAGGATTTCCTGTGGATTTTGCTCAAAATTCAAGCGCGCATCTCAAACCAAAACAATTTTTACCTTGCGAACAAACGAGGCAAAAGAGAGGATAGCGCTCTCGTGAATACAGAACCAAACACCCACCCACACTCCGTCGTCGGGATAAGAGTGATGAAAGAGTGAAATCCGTCCGTATAACGGTTTCTCAAAGAATCAGTTCTTTGGGCCTCTCATTATTTTTGCAACGCGAAAGTAAAGATGACGCGGAAGTAAATATTAGTCGTCCACTAACAAGAGAGAAGAAGAATAAAAGAAGAGATAATGCAGGAAAATGAACCCACGTGCTGAGGTGTGTCCGCGCACCTCAGTGCTAGGATTGCCGCGCCGCGGCTGGTATGCATAAGACATACCTTGTACTGCCATGCTAAGGAAAAACGCCATATGAACCTTCAGGCGTTGCCAAACTTTCTTTGTTAAACTGCGAATTTCCTGGTAAACTTGTGAATATTTTTCTTCCAATTTTTCAGATAATTTTGTTCGCAGTTTCACCTAAGAATTCTAAAAAATTTAAGGTAAAATATCCATAACTTTCCTCAAAAATAAACATTTTTTCGAGGGAAATTTGGCAACTATCGAATGTTCCTACGACGTTTTTCCTTAGCACGTCGGTGTACCTCTTGAGTTTTTTAGGCTCTCGATAATGAGCCACTCAGTTGCTTCCAGCAGTGAGCACGCACAGGGGATGAGACATCATTTTTCCTGGAATACTTTCTAATAGCTCTTTACTTTGGAGTGTTGACATAATGCGGATCGTAAATGCTAAGTAAAGCAAGACCACACCTTCAAAATCGGGTTCATTTTCGGTAACGAATTCAACGATGATCTTATTCTCTAACGTAGTGTGATGTGGTATTAAGTGATAACTCGTAATATGCTGACGCTCATTGGGAAAAATATTTTGAATCCAAACAACAACGATGTAATGTTTAACAAGGTGCGGTAAAAAAGTGCAGAGTGCACACTATTTTGCGGGGAATTGACGGCCGAAAAGTTCAAAAGTTCATGACGGCGTGACGGTTTTACAGAATGCTAAGCTGGGGTCACTGCTGAGTCTGATGCATTGATGAGGTCTGAAAAGGTCCAAAATGTTCCAGATCTCTCGGCGTGATCTCACCCTAATATTCCAATGCATATCTGCCCTGAGAGAGAGAGAGAGAGAGAGAGATAGATGAGACACAAAAGCTCGAATGCACACAACAATCAAAACACTTTAAAACACAAAAACAAATGGGTTTACAAGGCTAAGAAGAAATGAAACAAACCAGGACTTGTTTTAATTTTTACATTTTTTAGCTTTTTCTCCAGTTGAGATTGGGCATGTAATTGGCCCGAAACGTCCTGGTTTGTTTCAATTCTCCTCAGCCTTGTAAACCCATTTGCTTTTTGTATTTTAATGTGTTTTTATTGTTGTTCTGCCATGAGCTGACCACTCCCCCCCCCCCTCAATTATGTGCTGGTATTCATTAGAGCTCAGATTTTTGGCTCGAAGTGAAATTATTGAACTTTTTGGCCTCGTTTTCCCCGCGAAATAGTGTGGACCCAGCACCATTTTACCACGTCGTTACATAAAGATCGAACCACATTTTTTGGTGTTTATTTTTCTTGTTAGTAATGCTTTAATATGTCTTTGATTCCAGGCAAAAAGATAGTTGAGAGATATCGTTACACACGTTGAGCTTTCACATGGTAAGATATCACCATTCTTCATCTTCCACCTTTTTGAATTTTATTTAGCACGTTTGAATTACGAGTATTTGAATACGTATGAATTATTTGTCTGTAAGGAATGCATGCTCGCTAATGTTTTAATTTATTTATTTCGTTATTATAATTTAGCACTCATTCAACTCAAATACTTTCTGTAAAAAAATTAGTGTTCAGCAATCAACAAAGGTACATGTATTTCACAAATTGCACGTTTTCTGACCAGCTGCGTTGCGGTAGATACATCTCTTACACTGTAGCTACAAAAAGGAAAATGCTCTTCCCACAAATATTTCGTCTCGTTAAAAAGTCTCAGGAGTTTTGAATAGGATTCGACTTTACAAATAAACGACAATATAGAGTGCACTGGTTATTCGCATCGTCTGATGAACTCCCCAAGAGCGCACTGCGTGGTGGCTTTGAAACATGTAAAAACTCACTTTGATTAAAGATTTCCGCGGTGAGAGAACTCTTAAATGGACTGAGTTAAGCAGAAAGGAACCAACCCACATTTTGGAAAAAATTGAGTTATGAGTGGTATTGAACTCAACCACTGCTCTACTATCTATCGCCAAAAATTCAAAGTTTTTGTTGGAGCAAATTTTGCAGAAATTGAACTTGAAGTTTATCTTTTACATTGAGTCTTATGCAGGAGCCAAACTTTAAACCTCTTTTTCTCGGTTCGATCCCGATGTGGCTTGGTTCCTTTCTGTTTAACTCCGTCCAAATATCAGAACTGATCGAAGACCGTGACATAATTCCTGGTCAAAAAATAAACACCCTCCAATCCCAGTTACATGAGAGACGTGTTCACCAAATACCTTCGAAAGTGCACTTCCATTGTGCAGCCGGTAAATCATCGACCCTTGTCCTTGAATAAGTCTCTTGAGATTTAGCTCAAATTACAACCGCATATTGGAACTTCAATCTGAAAAAATCAGATACAACCGTCAGCGTCCCAAGTATACGCTATCAGCGAGAAGAATTGAACCCAAAGCTCAGACTATAATCCAGCCCTGATTATTGGCTGATTGATCGGTTGAATTTAAAGAGGCTTGTTAAAGAGGTAGGTACACGAATGCTCTACATTCCGAGCCGCTCTGAAGTTGGTTTTGAAATTCGCGTAACCATTGTTGCCGGTAGACGACGAATTTCTCAGCGCTTTCTGTAACTGTCAGAGTAAGTATCATTTGGCTTTCTCCTTTTTTCGGAAATCATTTGGCACGTTGATTAAAAGGTTTTTGGAAGATCCGCGTTCTTAGTTTGTCGCAAGAAACTGCCCAATACGACTTTCATCGGGTAAAGATGAGATGATGCTGTGATCCAGACTTTGTGTCCATATTTGTGTGTTATGATAGGTGCATTATGCGAACTTATGAAACTATGTTACACGGAAATCCTATGCACATTGTTCCTTGTAGCAGTCCATTTGGAGTATATACCTCCGGCAAATTCTAGGCAGGCGGCTATGGCAACAGTGTGTACCATTAGCAGCATAGCCGCAACAAGTGCCATGTCCCAAGTCCGCAGAGGAAAGACGCAGGGATCGGACCTATGTGTGATCGAGGTAAGAGGGGTGGCCGGCTTATAGAGTGCTCGAGTTTCTCGTGGCCGCACGCGGTATGCGATAATGAAGACGTATTTCGTTGCTCCTCTGACGTAAGGGCGTATCTTAATTTCCGTATGGACCCTTTGCTCCGTATAACCGTATGCTGTGCGGGGCTCATGTGGGAATAGAGACACGCCCTTACGTTAGAGGAGCGGCGATTCCTGTGCCTTCGAGCAAAGACTTCAACGCAGCGCTATGCGACGTCGATATCGAGATCTAATCGATAGCCATGACACGCAAGATTACGTTCGGTTCAAGTAGAAGCCGTATGCGCTGCAGAGGGGGCTGTCTTGGGATTAAGTGAACGCGACCGAGCAGGCATTATTTGTTTCATTCGGGCTTTTTTAAGGAACTTGAGACGACTTTTTATTGGCGACTTGCATCTGTATGAGCGTGACAACGAGTGTTGAAATTCCATGGAGGAAAAGAGTGAAAAGTTCGTAGCGACGCGAATTTCATGGAAAATCTATTCATGCACAAGTTATTTAAGTTCGTATTATTTTACATCCACGCTGAAAGATTAAACTCTTTTCTCCCGGTAGTGAAGGAAAAACAAAATAAAATTAAAATCAGTGAAGGTATAAAGCCGATCCTGCATGAATTTTCCATGCCCGGCAAACAATAGTAAAGTTTCTCGGAACGTTTAGATTTATTGACAACGGGAAGCCACACACTGATAAAAAATATATATCGTAGATTTTATCAAACTCTGACACAGTGATACGAGTATAATAATTAATAGTAGACCCTGGTAGCATTTACCGTATTATGGTAAGTTTTACCAGAGTTCTGGTGAATTCTACTGTAATTCTGGTTATTTTCGCTAAATAGTATCACCACATAAAAAAACAAGGAGACTCTTAGTAGATGTTACCATCCTTTTTTTCAGAGCATATGGACATTCAGAGCTGTATGATTGCATGATATCCTATCATTGCCCTCTCGGTCTCAAGAGGGTGCTGATGCCTCGTATCTGAGAGCAATTTTCCTCAGTTTAATTACCTGAATTTAGTACCCTGATACTTTGTTTGTCATGACTACAAATTATTATTTCATTAAACATGAACTTGCGCGTATGTTAAGGCCAATAAATGACCAGTTCAGAAACGTGAATAATCACTCGGTTAGAGAAATCGGATGAAACAATCCCAAGCTTTCAATTTTACACCAAGTTAGTTGATCAAACTAAAACTCAGTTGCGTGTGGAACTTAGCCAGAAACGAGATCAATTTTCGGTGTTATTGTCATGTTCAGAAGATATAGATGCCGAGATTAAAGAAGTCACTAGAGGAGTGTTTTGAATAATAAGTGATCCGCCTCTTCCCTTCGTGTGTCGCCCTAGTTTTTACCAGGAGCTGCGCGTCGTTTAAATCGTCTCCTTTCTGACATAAGGGCGTATCTCAATATATACGTGAGCCCTGTTTTACATATTAAGCCATGCTTTCTGGGGCTCATGCGGAGAGCGAGATACGTTCTTTTGTCGGAGGAGCGACGAAATGTGACTGAGATCCCGTCGCTACTCGTGAGTGAAGGGTATTCGGCCGAAACGACAGTCCTATATTTACGAGTCTCATCAAGTTACGTCATTTTATATGTTGGACGTTTGAGCATTCATTTATTCTTAACGCGGGTCATATTATTCTTACGGTCTTCCGCGATTTAATGTTATTACCATCCGAAATATCATTCCACATGTGGGAACTTGGAAGCCTCGGAAAATTTCAGATTTAGCATCAGCCTCCAGAACTTTCTCTGCGTTAATAAGAGGAGATATCCGCGATCAGGTAGTTCTCACTCTAGTGATGTATAAGTTTACGTGATTCAGTTTTTTCCGCAGATTTTTCGATAAACAGAGACAAGTGATTATTCTGCCGCATTCGTTTGCGAACTCATATTCACAGGAGGATGTGTAACGATGAGGTCCGAGGAAAACGTTTGACGGACGATGTTTACTTGCGACATCCGTAATTTTATTCATGTATGCGTTCGCCTGTCGTGCTTCCTAGGTGCCTGTATCCGCACGCTCGTGGATTCAGGATGTTCGCGATGGAAATTATGTGTGGCAAAAACGCGCTGGAGTCTTCGCTCGTGAATCCAAGATCTTAGTACAGTCAAATGCGAAAAGGGGGTTGGGGGGGATGTACTTATCCTCTTTTGCCATCGACTCATAGGGTATTACTTTTCAATCCGCTTCGACATTTTTCAGCGCTGATATTAATCACCATGTTTATAGCATACGTTTCTGTGCTGTTCGTGTTGCATTGAATAGAAAAGCATCTCCGTTACATCGTATTAAACGTAATTAGGATCCGCTTAAAATGATGCAAAAGGCCGATTTCAGTTGAAAAATGGAGAAATCGTTTTTTTAAATCCGATGAACGGAGAGCTCTGGAAAAACTTGTGGGTAGTATGGCCGCAGGTTAACAGCTGCTGCTATCAAGGTGAAAGGTGGGTATTTTGATGATCAGTCAGTTTGAGATTCCTCGTTTATTTCTGAAAGATAATATACATTTTACGGTGCCTTTTACTGGTGCCGTGTCTTTCAAAAGTATTATCTCGTACATGCAAATGTATATTAATTTTTCTGGGCACTCTTTCTTCTTGCGAATTTCAAAGATGTCTGGTTTGATTACGCGTGATCTGGTTACGCATACGAACAGTAAAATTAAATGCCTCGGCAAATGGTGAAATATTGTTACTTGGATTGAAATGCTGATTCTTTTCTTAATTTTGCCTTGTCGAAATGAGGGCCTTGTCCTCCAAGCCTCTCATTTCGTTCCGATGAATGAATCTATTTAACTGAAAGGGTTTCTCCGGAATTTTGTTTCTCCTTTTCTCACCAGGAATCAGCCTTTAATCCCTGATCAGAAAAAAAGCCAGCTCCGTCCTTCTTGGTGGCTAATGAAAATCAAATAGGCAATTACGTAAACCGAGAGCATGTGCATCATGCACTAGTTCTGTAATTTAAATAGACGACTGTTTCACAATCGTGACCAAGTTTAACGCGAGAGGCATGGGTCGAAGAGAAAGAGGGGGAAAGGGGAGGGGGGCTGATCAACGACCACAGCAAGGAAGCGTCCGTTTTTTAGTGAAGTCCTCGGGTCTTAAATCGCACTTGGCGGTCTCATTTGGAGCCTGCCGTAATGACGCCTAATGATAACTCTCATTCAACGAAAAATCCAATTTTAATCACGCGCCTATTGGGCAAAGATACTTTTGTGCCCCATAAATCTAGGCTGGTTCAGCGGACGGAGCCACGAGGCGAGGGTCACCTCCCATTTTTTTCACGTGTTTCTGACTGGGCCGGGATCCATCTGAAATTCCATCTCGAAATTTTGTGTTTGTCGGGTAGACATAGATGATTTAGGTTAAA